ACGGGGGCGTTCTGGGCCCCGCGGGGCCCAGGACGCGCCCGTCGTTGTCGGGCGCATCCCGCGGCGCCAGCCGCTGTCTGTCGTGCGCGCTTGGCGATTTGGCGGGGGCGCGCTCGGGCTCAAAATCACACGTGGGACGCAGTTGTCGTCGTTCGGTGAAACAGTTCAACGATTGGGCGCCAGCCAGCCCCGCGCGCGAAGTCACGCGCGGGATGCGCTCCACGTTGCCCGAAGACCCCGCTCAACGACTTAACGACCAGACTTGATGAGCAATTTCGCACGCGTACACCGCACTCACATCTATACCCCTGGGTGGGTGTATGTGCGGCCGTTTTTGCGCTGTCATGTGCGCGCATGTGCGCGGCATGTGCCAGTCATGTGCCAGGCCTGTGCGGTCCTTCTTGGATGGACTTCCTACTGTGCACGTCGTGCCCGGGCATGTGCGGGGGCATGTGCGCTGTGTTTTGATGTATCCATCATACGCACATGCACGCACAGTCCGACGCACATGCGCGCACATGCCTGCACATGCGGGAGGTGTTCGAGAATCGCAGATCTGTCATCGGCACATGCACGCACATGCCTGCGCAACCTCTCTTCGGGAGGCCGCGCGGGCCCGCACATGCACGCACATGCGGTGAAGCGCGCGGGCGCACATGCGTGCACATCCCAATGCACATGCACGCTCATGCCCTAGGAGCTGTCTGGGACCCCTGTGCCTCCAATGCCTCCTGGCCTTCGCAGAGCTAACCTGGGGCGTGCCAGGGCTTCCTGAAAGAGTTTGTTGTGCGTTTAGACTCGCCCGCTGCTGGCGGGGGCGGTTCTTCGCCCGGTTCGTGAGCTGGCGGTGGCGCGCCCGCCTAATAAAATACTCTCCCGCGCGCCTTCTCAGCTCGGCCGGAGAAGCAGGGATGGGGGGGGGCGAGGTGGAGGGGAGGGGGGGGAGGGGGGGGGCGGAGAAGGCGGGCGCCCCCGGCTCGGCTGGCCCGCCTGCCTGTTCGGCTCGGCCAGAGGAGAAGGAGGAGGAGGAGGAGGAGGAGGAGGAGGAGGAGGAAGAGGAGGAGGAGGAGGAGGAGGAGGAGGAGGTGAGAGTTGCGAGGATGTCTCAGGCGAAAGTGACTTGACGGCCCGTCTTGGCGGCTTCTTGGACGGCCTCGGCGTTATTTTTGGCCGCCTCGGGGCTTTGTTCGGGCCATTTTGCCAGGCCTTTTCGGTTATTTTCTACGTCAAATAGCCAACCACTTTTCTACTACAGCACCGGCCCCGGCCGGTAGTAGAAAAATCGTGGCATCTAGGCCCGTCTGGACGGCTTCTTGGACGGCCTTGGCGCTATTTTTGGCTGCCTCGGGGCTTTGTTCGGGCCCTTCAGCCGGGCCTTTTCGGCTATCTTCGACGTCAAATAGCCAACCATTTTTCTACTACAGCAACGGCCCCGGCCGGTAATAGAAAAATCGTGGCATCTGGGGCCGTCTGGACGGCTTCTTGGACGGCCTTGGCGTTATTTTTGGCTGCCTCGGGGCTTTGTTCGGGCCCTTCTGCCGGGCCTTTTCGATTATCTTCTACGTCAAATAGCCAACCATTTTTCTACTACAGCACCGGCCCCGGCCAGTAGTAGAAAAATCGTGGCATCTGGGGCCGTCTTGGCGGCTTCTTGGACGGCCTCGGCGCTATTTTTGGCTGCCTCGGCCACCGGCGAGCTCGGCCTGTGCTTAATACTGTGCGTACCTGTGCAGTGCATGTGCGGGACGTGCACGAATGCCGGGGCCGGCGTTCGTCTCCGGACGCCGGCGCGTTCGCGTCCGGCCAGTTCCGCGTGAGACGTCGTCGGCAATCTGGAGGCCGACGTGCTTTGACATGAAGTGATCTGGCCACCTTCGCCTGAGACATCCTCGCAACTCTGGTCTCGGAGATGCCCTGCCCCATGGTGGCCCGGCCACTTTCGCTTGAGACATCCTCGGGACTCTGGGTTTCGAGACGCCCTGAGCTGAGGTGGTTAGACCACTTTCGCCTGAGACATCCTCGCAACTCTGACCTCAGAGATCTCCTGCCCCATGCTGGTCAGGCCACGGTCGCCTGAGACATTCTCGCAAGTCTCGATTCCGATATGCCCCGAGCTGAGGTGGTCAGCCACTGTCGCCTGAGACATCCTCGCAACCCTGATCTCAATGATGCCCTGCTCGATAGTGTCTCGGCCCCTTTCGCCTGAGACATCCTCGGAACTCGGGGTTCCGAGACGCCCTGAGCTGAGGTGGTTAGACCATTTTACCTTTGGATATCCTCGCCCGAGATGCCCTGAGTTGAGCTGTTCAGGCCACTTTTGCCTGAGACATCCTCGCAACTCTGACCTCAATGATGCCCTGCTCCATAATGTCTCGGCCTTTTTCGCCCGAGACCCTCGCAACTCTGGGTTCTGAGATGCCCTGAGCAAGTGGTCAGGCCAGTCCTGCCTGAGACATCCTCGCAACTCTGGGCTCCGAGATGCCCTGGGCTGAGGTGGTCAGACCACTCTCCCCAGAGACATCCTCGCAACTCTGACCTCAGAGATCTCTTGCCCCATGGTGGTCAGGCCACTTTCGCTTGAGACATCCTCACAACTCAGACCTCGGAGGTGTCCTGCCCCATGGTCGTCTGGTCACCTTGACCAGCGACATCCTCGCCACTCTGGTTTCCAAGATGCCCTGCCCCATGGTGATCCGGCCACGCTTGCCTGAGACATCCTCGGAACTCTGGGTTGCGAAATGCCCCGAGCTCAGGTGGTCAGGCCACTATCGCCTGCGACATCTCTGCGGCATGTGCGGGCATGTGCGTCTATGCTTTCAGAGTTTTGCTTGACCGTGCATTCGACTGTGCGTCGGACGGTGTGGCATGTGCGCGCATGTGCGGCAATGCTGTTGAGGCTTTTGTATACTTGCATGGGCATGTGCATGCGACTGTGCGGCATGTGCCTGCATGTGCGGCCCCTTCCGGACCACAATTTCAAAGTGAGCATTATAGAAGTGAGCGCTATAGAAGTGAGTCCGGTGTAATGCCATTTGTTAAGTGGCGCGCTCACTTAACGATCGGATGTTTCGCGCTTCGCGCGAGACAAATAGGGCGGGGAGTTTCGATCGCCACGTGGAATTGCGCGGGGCTCAAGGGAAAAAGCGCTCGCGATTACTGACGCAACGGTCGACGCGCCCCGTCGCATTTTAACGCAGAGCAATCCGATCGTTCAGCGAGCACGCCTCTTAACGCGAAGTGCGTTCTGCGCGAGAATTTGCACATCCAGCGCGAAAGAGTCCCATCTCCAAGTGGGATCGGCAAGCAACGTAAACTGCATCTCGCGCATGGATGCACATCTCAAGCCCGCCCCCCCCCCGATCGTCGACTCGGTCCGCGGGACAGCGCTGGATGCCTCCAACGCGCGAGTTTGCAAGCCGAGCGCGCCCCGGCCAGGGCCTCGCCTCAGCGCCGAGGCGCCGCGACGCTTGCCGCGCCCTGCGAACTCGAGACAGGCAAAGACCGCGCCCCCCGCGCAGCCCCTCCGGCGTCGGGAACGCCGCGCCTTGCGAGCGCGAGACGGACACAGACCGCCACCTCCCCAGCGTCGCGGGCGCGCCGCGCCTGCGGAGACCTTCGGGCGCGGGCCGAATCGAGGCCTGATCAGAAAAGGCAACGGGCCGCAGGTTCCATGTCTGACTTGGTCGAAGAAGAAACAATGATGGCGGCGGCACTCTGGACGAGTGCCATGGGCACGGCCCTACAGCCCGCGGAACGATGATCTACGCGAGTCGCGCGAAGACGCTTCTGCCCAATTGGATAGTCACATGTGCAGCATCAGCGCAATTTCTTGAATCTGGCAACGTTCGGACGACTGCTTCGATTGCGTCCGGACCGTTGGTGAAGGCACGCCAAGAGACGAGAGGGAATCGCGCGGAAACCCGGCATGTGGGCAAATTTGCCCATGCATGTCGAACCTGTTTGGGTGTGTTTCCGGCGTTCGGGCGGCAGTGTCCAGATAGCGTCGAGCATGACAACGCGTCGGCGTTTTGTCGGTCGTCGTGCTCGCCGTTGTCGTGGTCGTGGTCGTCGCGGTCGTCGTTGTTCGTAGTTTTCCGTCGTGGTTGTCGTGGTCGTCGTGGTCATCGTGGTGGTCGTGGTCATCGTGGTCGTCGTGGTCGTCGTCATCGTGGTCGTCGTCGTCGTCGTCGTCGTCCGCCGTCCGACAAACACGGGGGCGTTCTGGGCCCCACGGGGCCCAGGACGCGCCCGTCGTTGTCGGCCGTACCCCGTAGCACCAGCGGCTGTCTGGCGCATGCGGTTGACGATTGGGCGGGGGCGTTCTCGGCGTGCGAATTCACACCAGGGACACCACTCAACGGTTGGACGGCGGACACCACTCAACGATTGGACGGCGGCGCGTCCACTGTTTAAAGTCATGCACGAGATGTGTCTACGGTGCCCTACTTTTCGCGTTTGATATGCGAGTTCACGCGCAGACCGCACTTCGCGTTAAGTGGCGCGCGCATTAAAACCATCGGCCTTTTTTCGCGCTCTGTGTGTGAAACATCAAGCGGGGAGCAGCGATCCTTCAGTGGAGTTGCTCGAAAGGGGACGGCAGAGAACGTTGCGGGTCCGAAGCCGATCTGCCTTGACCCCTCCCTCGATTGAGATATGCACTCATGCTTCTGGGCGCAGGCAGCGACGGATCCGAGACGAGCCAATATCGGCCCCAGTACCATGGGGGGGGGCCTTGCAAAGGAGGGGGACGAGGGGAGGAGGAAGAGGAGGAGGAGGAGGAGGAGGAGGAGGAGGGGGAGGAGGAAGAGAGGGGGACGGGGATGAAAGAGGAGGAGGAGGAGGAAGAGGAAGAGGAAGCGGTGTGAGAAAGTGGAGGAGGAAAGGGAGGAGGAGGAGGAGGACGACGACGACCAAGGGAAAGGGTAGCGCTCGAGCCCGCGCCCAGGCGTGATCGGTTCCCGCGTGCGCCAGGCCGTGAACATCGTGATGATGCTCATCGAGCATACCAGGACCGCGGCGCCCCGCCCACCTCCAGACCGACCTTTGGTGCGTTGAGCACTAGAAGAAAACCTGCGTTGCTTGGTATTGGTTGGCATTTCTTGGATTTGCTTGGCAATGTCTTGCACTGTTTGGTGTTGCCTGGCGTTGTTTGGCATTGCTTGGCATTGCCACGACCACCGCCGAGGAACCCCGGGCAACTGGGGCCGAGAACTCCCGAGGAACCCTGGGCCCCGGGCAACGCCGAGTGCCGCCTATGGTTTTTTTCATAACAAGAAAAGCTTTCAGGCACAGTTTAATTGTGGACAAGCACATGGTTCTCGTGATTTCGGCCTCCACGGCCGTTTTCGGGGTTGTCGCCCCCTACGAGATTCGGTTTCAAGAGGTTCAGAAGTCCCAGGGTTGAAAGAAGAAGGACGCCGGAGTTCTGCGAGTGCCGTCGCCGTCAGATTTGGGTTTCGGATATTTGGGCTTTCTTTGGCCCACCCGCGGCGCCCTTGTCACGACGGCTGAGTCCGACTCGGTAACTTGGTCAGGGCGTGCTCGCGGACAGGTCCCTGGTGAGTTCTGAGGAGGGCCAGGGCGCGACGTGGGCATTCAGAGGCCAAAAGCGACAAACAACCTCTTCGATCCTCGAACTTGGAGCCTCCTCGTGGTCTGCCTCCTCCTCCTCTTCCTCCTCTTCCTCCTCCTCCTCCTCCCTCACGACGACGACGATGTTCGAGAAGGAGGATGATGGGGAGGAGGAGGAGGAGGAGGAGGAGGAGGAGGAGGAGGAGGAGGAGGAGGAGGAGGAGGAGGAGGAGGGGGAGGGGAGGGGAGGGGGAGGAGGAGAAGGAGGAGGAGGAGGAGGAGGAGGAGGAGGAGGAGGCCGAGGAGGAGGAGCAGGAGGAGGAGGAGGAGGAGGAGGAGGCGGAGGCGGAGGAGGCGGAGGAGGAGCAGGAGGAGGAGGAGGAGGAGGAGGAGGACGAGGACGAGGAGGAGGAGAACGAGGACTGCAGACCTCCAGGCGTCGTAAAAAGAAGAAGCACGACGACCAGGGGGTTCGGCCTCTGGGGGCCCAGCTCGCGCCGCGGGGCCACGGAACAGATAGCCTGCGCGAGAAAGTTGCCGTGGGATGGGTTCGAGAGCTCCAGGGGCCGCGCCGTTAACAGAAAGACGCGACGTTGCGTGTCTGGGTCCTTCGGCCCTCCCTGTTCCATCACGCTTCTCCTGTCATCTTCCAAGAAGCAGCAAAAGACGTTCTGTCTCGAGGCAAAGGGTGAGCAAAGAGGAGACTATGACCAAGCGGATCGTGAAGGGATGGGTGTTCAAGACGATCACCACGGCCGCGATCTTGCTGAACGCGTTGTGCATCGGCATTCAGACCAACTACTCCCTCGCGTTGGCGCTCGACTTCGAGGAGGATGAGGACCCGCTCCACTCCAGACCGCAGCGCCCCCCTCCCTTACCCGCGATCGCGGGCGAAGGTGGTGCGGGGGAGAAGTGGAGCGGCGCAGCCAGTCGGTATGACCCTCTCCTCTTCGCCCCCCTGCGCGCGCTTGCTGGCAGGCGGCGGGGGGGGGGGGGGGGGGGGGCGCGCCACGGCTGCCTTTGCCGAGGCCAGTCTGGCGAGGAGGCGGGGCGTCGAAAGTGCACACACAGCGAGTCTGCAGAGCCCGTGCTCGAGATCGTCAGTTATGGAGCGATTTGACAGAAGAGCCTCGCCTTCGAGGATGGATGGAGTTGTCATCTCTTCCTCCGCGTACAGTCAACAACCCTAATAAGGACGCGCGACTTTGCTCAGGGTACCCTTGCGTCCTTGCTCAGGGTACCCCTGCGTCCTTGGGGTTTTCGTCGTCCGCCGCCCCAAAAATCCCAACTTTGGCTTCCAAGGGTCTTGCGTCCTTACCGTGCGTCCTTATTCTTGTTTTTGACTGTAAGGCGGCGGAAGGCGGCAGAAGTGAAACGAGGCCGCCTGCGCCAGCGGAAGACAGCGGAAGGCCGGCGGAAGGCGGCGCAAAAGTAAGAGATGCGCCTCCAAGAGATGATAGCGTTTCTGGGCTCAGGGCTTCCGGAATCGGGCCTCGAGAGGTGGGGCCCTCTCGTCCTCTGCCTGCAGTTCAGGCTGCTCTTTGTGCACTTTGTCATACGTCGGTCCTGGATTGGCCTCGGTTGGTGCACGCACGGGGGCGCGCAACAAGCCCGAGTCTAGCTAGCCTTTTCGGGTGTCCTGAAGAGGACGCGGCACAGGCCTGGATGTGGCTGGAGTGCGTCTTCACGGTCTTCTTTGCAGCAGAATTGCTACTGCGCGCGGTGGCGGAGCGCATCGAGTTCCTCATTGGCAAGAACTGGAAGTGGAACTTCTTCGACACGATCTTGGTTTCCACATCGGTCGTCGGTCTGCTCGCTGAGGCGGGCCAGCATGAGGGAAAGGGACCCGGGAGTAAGGAAATCCTGGAGTTGTTTGCGCCGTCCTGGGGAAAGCCCCAGAGACTTCCATCAGGACCCGTTTCTCTCATG